TTGGGAGCATGTGGAGGCTGCTATTTCTCATTTTCATCTTTTTCCTCTAGTTGGAAACTTTTTCTGAAGGAGGCTTTGTGGGCCAGATGGTCTATGTTGCAACTAGGTTCTGCCCATTCCACACAAAAGCAGAGATGGTCCACATGTAAACCATGAGCAGAGCCTCGTTCCAGGAAAACTTCCCAGAACGAGTCAGGGGCTGGATTTGGCTCATGGCTGGAATTAACTGACTTCTCCTCAAAGCAAATCAACCCACCTCTGGTATTTCTTGGTGTACACACGAAGCTCCTTGGGTCTTTCCTCTCCTCTGCACTTGGGAGCAGACCCTGGGGGCTCCACTTGCTATTCCTGCAGAAAGCTTCTCTCTCTACTCACTGGAGCTCCTTGGGGTCAGGACCGTATGTTATTTGGGACTCTGAACTCTTCAAATGGAACTTGGTAGAAATGCAAACCACCCAGTCTTCTACCTGAAGAATTTATAAGTTAAAGGCGAAAAAGTTCTCAAAACAGATAAATTCCATGACAGAATCAGGAAAAGAGGGAGGGATCAGGAGAATGTGCCCCTGACAAACCCAATAGAGAACTTTGAAAAACCTAAGGAAGAAGAAAAAAATTAAGTGAAAAATTAACCTTGATACCCTAAAGCACTGAAAGCCAAGCAAATGCAAAAATAAAACCCATGCCTTGGAGACGTTTGGTGGTTTCTTCTTAAACCTGAACACATAAGCATGCCATGTCTTCCAGCAATTTCCCTCCCTGGAATCAGCCTAAGAATTTGTCCACGTGAAAACATGCACACGGAGATCATAGCAGTGTAGCTCATCATGGTCTCGACTGAAGCCACCCAACTATCCACCGACTAAGAAATGGTGGTGTTCGTGTGTACCAGGAAATACCATTCAGCAAGAAAAAGAACTACTCAGGAGGCTGAGGCAGGAGGATTGCAAGTTCAAAGCCAGCCTCAGCAACTTAGTGAGTCCCTGAGCAACTTACTGAGACCCTGTCTCAACAAAATAAAAAAGGGCTGGGGATGTTGCTCAGTGATTAGTGCCCTTGGGTCCAATCCCTGGTATCAAAAACAAACAAACAAACAAAAACTACTGATAAGTGTCGCATCGACTCAGCAGACTACCTATGGTGTGAGTCCAATTCTAGGAAATGTCCAGATACGATAAATTTATGGAGACAGGAAACACATCAGCGGTTGCCTAGGGCTGGGGATGGGAGCAGGGATTAACTGAAAGTGGACACAAGGGACTATTGGAGGTGATGGAAATGTTCGCCAACAGCATTACCGCGATGGTGTACAACTGCCTGAATTTACTAAAATCACTGAATTGTGCACTTTCAATTATATATTTTCAATTTTATGATATGAAAATTATATCTCAATAAAGATGCTACAAATAACAAAATGGAACAAAACCTGGTGCAAACCATTGTTCTGTGCAGGGCGGAGAGAAGCTGCAGGAGGGGAGACTGAGGTGGTTTCCCCAGCAAAACATGGGTGCCATTGCTATAAAACATCCGACGTGACTTCACTTGGACTCATTTGTCAATCCCATTCAGTTCAAATGCCCAATAACAGCAGCCAGTTTTCACTGGGCACCACAATCCTAAGAGGACGATGGCTAGTATTATCCCATTTTCCAGAAAAGAAGTCAGGATCAGAGAGGGAAAGCAACGCACTCAAGGGTCCACAGCTCCTACGTGGCAGAGCTGGGACAGGAACCTCATCCTGCCTGATTCCAGAAACTGTGCTCTTTGCCAAGTTATTTGCTACCTACCTACCCTTCCTGCCTGTCCTCTGGCCACCAACTCTTTGGTCCCAAGGAGAAAAGCACGGTGCCACTGGGCATGCAGTAAGCTTCCTTGTCTCTCTGTCGCCAACGTTGGCTTGCATGAGGTCTCTGGTAGCCATGGGCCCACATGCCCTCCCAATCACTGGGCAGAGTGGCCTTGATGACATGGCCTGATTTATACAAGTAGCACATTGTGGTCACTTGTCACTGTGGTAGCTGACCTCTGGAGCACGTAGTGGCAAAAGCCTGGCTGGGCTTCCGTCAAGGTGAACCGACAGCCAGGGAGAGAGTCTCAGGCTGAGCCGCAGGCCTGCCCAGTTGGATTTCCTTGGGGCTCTTCATCAGGAACTGCGAGTTTCCAGGGAATGGTCATTCCGTGCTGGGGCTTTAGAACTGGCTGCTCCGCCTGCCCTGTGCACTGGGCACACCCGCCCTGGCAGGGAGCTGGCGGCCCCATCCTCTTTTCTGCTGTGCAACAGGGGCCATTGCCCCGCTCCCCTGAAGCATCAGTCAGCTTTTCTGCCCCTCTGAGCCGACCACGCAGGGACATGCAGTAGTTGGAGGAAGGTCTTTGTAAGACTGCCTGGCACAGGCCCAAGAATGCCTGTGACACGGGAGGAGGGGACTCCCACACCCAAAGGCCTCTTCTGAGATGAGCCAGCCTCGGGCACGAGGAGGCAGAGCATCTCCTCTCCCCTGGTCCCTTCCACCTCAGGCACCAGGAGCCCCTGATACTCCCCATACAGGCTGGGCCCCGCCCCCCTCCTGGCTTCCTGTTCCTTTTACTGGAAACACCAGTGCTTGGACCTTCACCCTCTTCAGCTCTCTGCACAACCTCACCCTCTCGGGAGGCCTCTCTGACTATGCATTTGAAATTGCGGTCCCACCCCAGCGCGGCCTTCTCCACTCTGCCTTGCTCTTCTGCACAGCATCCACTGCCATCTGAGGCGCCTGTGTTTTACTTCCCCTCTGCAACATAAGCTCGATAAGGGAAGGGAGTTCTGTCTGGCTCTGGATCTGCACAGCCTTCTACAGAACCTGGCAGGTGGCAGGTGGCAATAACCTTTCATGAGGAATGCACTTCCCCATCAGGTCCAGCCTCTGAATAGCATCTCTGCAGCTATCAGCCAAACACACTAGGAGGATTTCATTGAGCCCAGCAGGGACTAACCAAGCCTACTCAGAGGTGACAGGAGCCAGCCTAGGAGAAGTGGGTAAGGAGCCAGTTAGTATGACATACGGAGGAGCAGCACCCAGACTCAGGAGCCCTGCAGGACACCACAGGGCTGGAACCTGCGGATACTTGTCTAGTCTGTCCTACACCTGAAGGCCATCTGCTGGGGAGGTTCTCTGAAGTCTGGGCTATGTGACACTGCTGGTTGTCACATAAGGAAGGGGTCTTCGGAGAAGGATTGGACAAATATAGATTCCAGGGTATCTGCTCAGAAGATACTTCACCTGGGTCTACTGTGCCTCACCTGGTCTGCTGGCTTCGTGCCCCTCTCCCTAGGGACAGGCCTCCTAAGCTCAGCCACATGGACAGGGCTCACACTGCAGGCCTGAATATACTCCAGGGACGAGAATGGCATCTGCTCTGGGGATGGTGGGCGGTAGCAGGAGTTCCTCCTAGGGAACTGCCCATTGTAATCTGCAGCACTTTCCTAAACCAAAGGCAGCAGGGGTGAACAACAACACAGGTGTCAAAATGTGCTGCAGTCAGGAAACTTGGTTCTGAATTCCAGCTCTGTACTGGATGATCTTGGGCAACCTCTTCACCTCTCTGAACCTTGGTTTCCTCATCTGTCAAATGGGACAACCACAGTACTTGTTTCACTGGGAGCACCCAACACGCTGAGCCTAGTAGCTGGCACGTAGTGAGAGCTCAGTAACAGAACTTGTAGCTACTACTGTTATAAAGGGAGGAAGGAGTCAACCCCAGTCACTTGCTCAGGCTGGCTGAAGACCTCCAAGGTTATCCAAGTCCTGAGGCAGTGGAATTTGCCAGTAATTAAGAGACCAGCAATTCAGCCCTTCTCCTTTGGGTTTCAGAATGAGGCAGGCTCAAGAAATACCAGCCCAGATGGAAACTTCTCAGTGGCCACAGGAATCATTCCAAAGAGGGCCTGACTAGGGCTGCAAGTGGGACTCTGGAAAAGGAGGAAACAGGACCCCCAAGCCACTAAGTCCCTGAGTTTATTAATTAACAGACAAGCATTTGCTCTGCCTGCTCCAAACACATGGCTCACCAGGGAAGGGCACCTTAGTCACACAAAAATAACCCCCCAGCGGGTTTTTGATGTGTGGAGCCTCTTTGTTTTTCTGAATTTTAATGAAGGGCTTTCCAGGCAGGATGAGAGAAGCACTCAGGGCTCCCTGTGGCCAAGGAGTGGGCCTCAGTCAGCTGCGGCCACCTGCATGGGCCTGAGCCAAAGCAGGGGCCTGGAGAGGCTGGCAGGGGAAGGTCCCTGTCCTGAGATGTGTCTGGGAGTAAGCAAGAAAAACAAAAACAAGAGCATCCGCTTAGGGGAAGGCTGGGCTCTGCTCCCTGTCAGCACGTGGTGGGAGAGACGGGAGGGTGCGGGGCAGAGCAGAGCAGCAGCTGTGTACCCAACGGTCAGAGGCTGGTCAGAGGCTCCCGACAATGGGTGGGGAGAGGGCTGCTCCTGGGAGAATGTTCTGTGGTGTTCTCAGGGAGACTCGGTTTGCCCCTCCCAAGGAGCATCTGGAAGGGGGCTCTGGGACCATGTGGCAGAAGGGAGGTGTGGGCCTTAGAGCTCAAGGCGTGGGGTACAGGCGGGTGGGGTCGGTGGTGGAAGGGAGAGTGTTATCCCAACAGCCACCAGGCCCTGAGGTGACCCTACTCATCACGCCCCCTGCTTGCTCCTCAGCGCCAGCTGCCTGGAAGACAGAACAAAGCAACAGTCCCGCCACAGGGCCCCATGGCGCTCAAGGGCAAGTCTGAAGGCATCATGCCAGGCCAGGCCCTCCCAGGACCACGGTGGGCAACTGTCTGCAACCTCCTTCAGGGCGCACTACCCGGGCCCTGTGCTGCAGGGAGAGAAGCTGCGACTGCCAGTGGGGGCCACTCCTCCCACACGGAGCTCTCCTTGGGCTCTTCAGCTCCCTGGAGCTCAGAGCTGCCCTCAGACTGCTCACAGAGTCTTTCCAAGACGGGGCTGGAAAGAAACCGAAGAGGCATCCACAGAATAAAGCCATTTATTGCATGTGAATGACCCAGTGTGGTCTACTGAAAATATTTTTATTACAAAATATTCCATATAGAAATTCTCATCCGCTTGTAAGTTTCCTTGGCTTGAGGCCTACTGCATTGCTCCAGGTCTGAGGCAGAGATAATGCGTTCAGGTGTTCTGAGGTGGTCCTGGGGGGTCCTCCTTCTCAGTGTGCACCTGGTCCCACTCGGTGAGGAGCTCCGAGGACACCTCCGTGTATAGATGGTCCCAGTCCCAACCAACATCGTCCTGACAACAAGGGTATCACTTGGTAAGACAAAGAATGGCCTTTCCCCTCAATGGCAGTCACCTTCCCATGCATCTAGGCCCCAGGGAAGTGCAGGCCAGCCTGGAGGGACAATGGCGAGTGGCTTCTGCTACCGTACCTCTCGCACTTCATGCTCTGGAGCCAGCACTTTGGTGAGGAGCTTCAGGTCAATCTCACCATCCTGTGAATGCACAAAAAGCCAGTTGGGACCTCAAGGGCGGTCAGGCAACAATCTCTTGTAAAGCAAGGACAGGGCGATCGAAGAACAGACCCAGGGACACGCCCTCGTCAGAGTCAACACCTGAGGGGGCCACAGGGCCACTGAGAAAGGAGGAAAGGCTACATGCTCTACGCTGGGCAGTGTTGGCAGAAGGGCCACACCAGGAGGCAGTGCGGGTCCTCAGGTGAAAGAGGGCATGGCAACAGAGCAGCAGGGCCTGGCCCTGGGACACACTGGAGGATGGTGGGCCTGGGCACGCCACGAGATCCCTGAGGACACCACCTCCCAGGACAGTGGACAAGGTGCTGTACGGCTTTGGGGGAACTGAGAAATCTCTCTACAGAGGCTGTGTGGAACCTGCCCCTCTGTGCAGAAGCCATTCCACTCACCAAGGTCTGAAAGGCCGAGTACTTCATGAGGTCATTGTCCAGGTCGCGGTAGGTCATCACCCGGTTCACCTGGATGCTGAAGGACAGGAAGTGTGAGGAGGGACCACAGGCAGGACAGGATCCAGGACTGTTGCTGGGCTACTGTGCCCAGAGCCTGGTATGCAGCTGGGAATGACCAGGGTGGGAATCAAATGTGTGAACTAGTTAGGAACTCGGGAGGGAGCCATCACCAGAAAGACTGCCTCTACACTGGGGGGCAGCAAGGCCCTCTCCAGAGGGTGGCTGGGTGTGTTAATCTGTTCTATTTAGTTGCCAGTTTCTGACCTAACTGAACCTACCTCGGAGGCGATGCCACCTGCAAAACAAAGTCCTCCTCCTGCACTTCTTCCAGATCCGGGATGATGGGAATATCTGCAAGGAGAGGAGGAGGCTCAGCGGTCCACAGCACATGGGATCTCGCCAGCTTCTCCGTTTACCATGGATTCACCTTCCACACCCAGCTGGGGGGCTGTGTGCTGGGGGTTGAATGGAGTCTCTGGCCTCCAGGAGTTCCTGGCATAGGACTGTGGTACAAACTAGGGCACGCATTAGAATCAAAAGTGGAGCCAGGCGGGTGGTGCGTGCCTGGAATCCCAGTGGCTTAGGAGCTGAGGCAGGAGGATCCTGAGTTCAAAGCCACCCTCAGCAAAAGTGAGGCCCTAAGCAACTCAGTGAGACCCTGTCTCTAAATAAAATTCAAAATAGGGCTGGGGATGTGGCTCAGTGGTTGAGTGTCCCTAAGTTCAATCCTGGGTACAAAAAAAAAAAGTGGAGCTTCAGTAATTTGTGACCCCCAGGCCTTTCCCCCATAATGTGCTGAAGGAGAACCCTCTGGTGGGGCTCATTCATCTGTACTTTTCCCTAAGATTTCTTCAGTGACTCTGATGCATGCAGCAGATTGGGAGCCTTGGGGTGATCTCCAAAGAGAGAAGGAAAGAAATGAGAAGAGCCTCCATTCTGTCCCAGACAGCATTTGGGGCTTGGAACAGAAGAAAAGGAAAAGGAACAGATGCATGAGCCTGGCATGGTCAGAGACAGAACCGAGAATGTGTAGTGTCACAAAATCGTGTCATTGTGAGCACCACCTGATCATGACCAATACTAAGGCATGCATTAAGACTAGAAAGCAACCGTCACAGTCTGGGTCACAGCACTCAGCTGCATCTAAAGGACTTTTTACACCAATGATGCAACCTGGATCCCCAACTTTGTCTTGGTGTTCGGGGCTCCACCTGGCAGGCTGGGGAGAACAAACACCACCCAGTCTAATCATCACACTTCTCTGGCTGTCTCGCGGGGCTTCCTTCTCTGAGACACAATTAGAGACATATGCGGAGACCCGAGGCCAGTCCTTCTATCAGCCTAACAAAGTCACACACACAGACTGAGAGACGGTGCGTCACTTCATTGTGGCATCTTGCTTCAGTTCCCCAAAACTGCCTGCCCTCATGGGGACAAATTAACTCCCTAAAGAAACAGTCATTACCAGCTCCAAATGAGCATCACTGGCTGGTTGAGGGGTTTCGCTTTAACCAATCAGGAAAACAACTAAAAGAGGTGGGGCAGGAGAAAAGGTCAAGTGGGGTAAGAAAGTCCAGCAATTCCCAAACCAACTGCAAACACCAAAACGAGGAACATTCCAGAGGAGACAAGTGAAGACACCCCTCACTTCTGCTTCCAAGGACTGAGTTCTATTTTATTTCCAAAAGAGGCACACGCTCACTCCAGCAACAGCTGGGAAGACCCTTGTCACTGTCAGCCCCCTGGTTATTTAGACTTTGTGAGAGCTCTGGTCCAGCTCAGCCAAGTATACAGACGTCGGATTCAAGCTGCTGCCTTCATTACTACTTCTCACTACAGACTCACAGCTGTTGCACCTGGAAAAAGAGAGAGAGAGGGCAAGAGAGAGACGGAGACACAGAAAGAGACAGGCAGAGAAAGGAAATAGTGAAAAGGGATAAAAATAAAGAGAAACTGCTGATAGGGATAAAGAAGAGACACATACACCGCCCCCAAAATAATGAACCAGGTTCAGCAAGTCCAATGTCTATAAAGAAGCTGTTCAAGCTTAGATCCTATCTCCCTGGCCTTGGAGAGAATTAGAGATGGAATTTGCTAAGAATCTATTTCTTATGCTAATAGAAATTTAGCTTCCTTTCTCGCCCCCCTTCTGAGTGATTCACACAATCCACTGTGTGGGCTGCTCAGGCTGCTCTGCTCCTTGAGCCCAGGCTGTGTGGGGCTCCCTGGCTATGAGATGGCACAGGCCCTGCAGAGGGACGGGGGAAGCTGGCTGTGCCACGTGCCATCAGCAGTGTGACAGTTTTGGAATGAGCCAGTTAGCTGCCACTAGTGGCTCTCCTCGGTGTGGAGTCCAGCCTGAGATGAATATTCAGAAGTTGGTAAGGAAATGCCCCACGCTGAGTTTAGGGCCCAGGACAGGGTCTTCTCAAACTCCCCTTTCCCTCCGCAACTTTAGCATTTGGGTCCTGTCAGCTCTGCCCAGCTTCTCTGAGCTCGGAGGAATTGCACTTCTGCCCAATGTCCACTCTCACTCCCCGTGGACCTCCCTCTTGGTACCCACCCCCCTCCTCCAAATGTGCACAAAAGAATGTGGGGCTGGCCCATCTGTGACAGATCAGAGGTCAGCGCGGGCCTTGGCAAAGGGGCTGCTCAGAGCGGCGCTGGCGGGGCTGGCCGCACAGTGGGATTTCTCTCTAATTGGAAAGCCTGGTGCCCAGTAGAACCCGGTGAACCGCCTGAGTGGGACAGAGCCAGCGATGACAGCCAGGCCAAGGCAAGCTGGAACATTCCGGTGCAGTGACAGCTTGAGCCATCGCAGCGGAGGGAGCCCATCCAATTCCCCGCCCCCAGTGGAACAGGTGGCCGTGGAGCAGGTTTTGGGCAAACTTCAAAGAACTTCACAATTTTACAGTTTCTGATTTACAGTCGCAGACAAGTGTCTGCTTATGTGTACATGAGATGGTCTGGGGACCTGCTTCTCTCTGTCCCCCACACCCCCAAGACATATCTACCATGAACAAACTTAGGAGAAAAGAAATGAACTTGATAAATCTGCTTCCTCACTAAATCACCCACAAGGGATGATCCAGCCCTGCTTCCCATCAGAGACAGTGATCTGACCGGCAAATGTGGCCTGGTGACCAAGTCTTGTAGGTTGGGAAGGTTAACATGCAAAGCACATAGTTTTAACAGAGCCGATGAGAGGAATTGAGTACTAGAGTACTGGTACTGTTGAAAAGCTACCACTGTTTCTATTTTTTGCAGTGTTGGGGACTGAACCTAGGTCCTGGAGCACATTAGGCTCTTACTACAGAGTTACATGCCCAACCCATCTGCTGCTATTTTTAAAATCCTACTATTTTATTTTTAATTTATTTATATCTTGCATTTTTAAAAATTTGTTCTATTTAGTTGTACATGACAGCAGAATGCAGTTCAATTCATCAGACACAAATGAAGCGCAACATTTCAAATTCTCTGGTTGTACATGGTGTAGAGACACACCAATCATGCAGTCATACATGTACCTAGGGTAATGATGTCCATCTCATTCCACCATTTTCCTACCCCTCCCATGACCCCTCCCCACTTCCCCTTTGCCCAATCCAGAGTTCCTCCATTCTTCCTATTCCCACCCCCCCCCCCAATTATAGATCAGTATCCACTAATCAGAGAAAACATTCAATCTTTAGTTTTTTGGGAAAAATCTCGCGATTTTAAAAATCCAATAATTATATTAACTTTGTTCTCATTTCCCTCTATGCTGATATTACTCAAAGAACATTAACAGTATCAACAAGATTAATAAAGTAGGTGCAGGATTCCCATCAACAGCTTAAGAGAGCAGGCTGGAGACAGGATGGCCCATTTCAAATCCTGTCTCCGCCACATACCGGTGGTGTGACTCTATCCTTTCTGAGCCTCAGTTTCTTCATCTGTAAAACTAAGATCATTACATTCACTTCATATGGTTTTTCAAAGTATCAAATGCAATAAACTTTGTAAAATACTAAGCACTGTGCTCAGTACATAATATTCACTATTCTTAACAAATACTATAATATTGTGCATCCAGAAAACCCAGATGCTCCTACCTTGACTTTCTCATTGAATCCTGCCCAGTCCAGTCATTTTTTAGAAGACAACAAGACTAAATCAAGATTAAGCAACTCATGTGAGGTGAAACCACTAATGATACTATTAATAATGCACCGCCAGGGCAAGGGTAGGCTTCCCTCTCCAAAGGGGCACCCACCCTACTCTGCACCCTACTCTTTTAAATGCAAAATGGCTTTGAAGACACCTCCTCCCACAGTGGAGGGGTGAGGCAAGGCCTATAGTTAGGACACCTTTATTTTTGCCTAAAACTTAATGTCCTTTGTTCTTGGATAGTTCTCTCATTCCTATAACTGTAAATAAACTAAGTCCTCTCTCTCACAAGCCCTGACTTGCTCCTTCCCTCAAGGTCAAATGAAACAGAATGGTAAAAATGCACTCACCACAGAACCTGGAAATGCCACCCGCCATGTCTTACTAAACTAGCTCTGAGAAGGACAAGGTGGCCTGGTACCGGAACAGCCCCGGGGGAGATGGCAAGGCAAGAGAGCTTTGAGTGGCCCCAGTGCCCTGGGATGCAGGTTCCCCTCCTGTCCCAGTGCCACCCTCCCACCCAGCATCTGCTGTGTGGTCCCAGCTCAGACCCCTCAACCCAGAGTCCTTCGGGGCCTTGCGCTTTCTCCCTGCCCCTCGGCTCTCCTGCAAGCTGCTCCACAGGCTCCTCTGCCCCACTTGGTGCCTGGTTGGCCACACTCTGGGAGATGCTATTTGTCTACTTGTTCCCTCAGTTCATTCATTTGGGGAGCATCGGCTGAGCACCCACCAGGAGCAAGAAGCCAGGAGAGATGGTGCCAATAATTGGCAAACAGAACACAGCTTGCAGTCTTCAGGAGCACCAGCCAGATAGGACGGCACACACAAATAAACATCCTGCTTATGAATCAAAATACACAGTGGGAAAATTACACAGTGGGAAAGAAACTAACTGAATTCCACGATAGACAATACCAGGGAGACCTAACTGTTTTATTTTTCTGAAGTAGAAGTCACATGACAGGTTACAGGATGGGTGTTATAAATTCAAATGCTATAAAAAAGTTTAGCATGAAAATTTTCCCTTCCTTCTATGAGATCCAGTCATCTCATCTCCCTAGAGGTAATCACTCAATTTCTTATATGTTTACTGAAAAGCACTTATGCATATCATAGTATATATGGCCCCCCCTTTTTTGGTACCAAGAATTAAACCCAGGCGCCCTTAACCTCTGAGCCACATCCCCAGCCCTTTTTTA